GCCGTAATGGGGTATATCTAGGCCAGTCACTCACTGTGAAACAGTTTCAGACGGGTGGGTCTCATGGCAGTTGCGTCCAACGTATTACTTTTGGCCTTCTGTTCATGAGACCCCTGCAGTGGTGGCTCAGGACCAAGGGGTTTTCTCCGAGGGGAAATACGTTTTCGCATGATCAAGGTCACGCGGCTATGCCTTCGTGCTTCGGTCATGTGAAAGAACCTTGGTTCCTCGCCCAGGCCCAGTGTTGGGGGCTTCTTGTCGACGCATATTGCTATCGACGGATGCTTCCCTCACAAGTGGGGGCGATCATGAGTGGTTGCTCGGCGAATGGCGGACAACACACTGATGGTCTCGTATATCAGAGCAGATATCCTGTTGAGGCAGGGGCTGAGGCCCAGGGGATTGGAGGCTTCACCCCGAGGTGGTGGAGCTTCTTAGGGAGAACTTTGGTCTAACTAAAGTCAAGTCGACCTTTCACATCGTTTGTACAACGCATTGCTCTATATGGTTCCCCCTCACGCAGCCAGCTCTTCTCGGACTGGATGCGATGGTGCAGGTGTGGCCGAGGCTGCACCTGTAGGCATTTCCCCCGATATCTATGCTCCCGGAGGTTCTGGAGAGGATTCGCCGGGAAGGGGCTCATCTGCTACTAGTAGCCCCATACTGGCCGACTCGAGTTTGGTTCTCGGACTTTGTCTCTTCTGGACGGCTCTCCCATGGAGATTCCGTTCAGGAGGGACCTGCTGTCCCAGGCAGGGGGCACGATATTTCACCCTCGACCGGAGTTGTGGAAACTGTGGGCCTGGCCTCTGAGGGGGCCAGGCTCATAGAATCCAGTCTCTCGACTGAGGTCGTTGAGACATTCTCCATTCCAGAGCTCCTTCCACGAGAAGACTGTATGCACTGAAATGGAAATTATTCTCCACCTGGTGTGGTGAGCGTCAGTTAGATCCTGTTAACTGCCCTGTTGGTTCAGTTCTCGATTTTCTGCAAGACCGTTTCTCTGCTGGATTATCTCCTTCCACCTTAAAAGTTTATGTGGCGGCTATTTCGGCCTATCATACCCCTCTGGGGGGTACTTCTATTGGGAGAGATCCTCTGATTACTCGTTTTCTCCGTGGTACATTGAGGTTGAGACCTGCACTGCACTCTAGAGCACCGGCTTGGGATTTAGCCATTGTACTTGAGGGTCTGGCTCTGGCTCCCTTCGAGCTTATTGAAGAGGTTTCAGAAAAATTCCTCACTTTGAAAGCTTTATTTCTCCTTGCTATTTCATCTATCAAGAGAATTGGAGATTTGCATGCCCTGTCGGTTGCTCCGTCATGTCTGGAATTTGCACCTGGTATGGTGAAAGCATTTCTATACCCTAGACCGGGTTATATTCCTAAGGTCCCAGTTAATGTTGGGGGCCCAATAGTGTTGCAGGCCTTTTATCCTCCACCTTTTAATACCCCAGATCAGGAACAACTGAACCTGTTATGTCCAGTTCGGGCATTGGATGCCTACGTTCACAGAGCTGCCCTGTGGCGTAAGTCAGAGCAGTTATTTGTATGTTTTGGGTCAGTCAGAAGAGGGTGCCCTGCATCTAAACAGGTTATGAGCAAATGGATAGTCGAGGCTATATCATTGGCTTATGAAGCGGCCGGTCAGCCTTCACCTATGGCTGTACGGGCCCATTCTACAAGGAGTATGGCGGCCTCTACGGCCTTAATTTCGGGTGTTTCCCTTCTTGACATTTGTAATGCGGCAGGTTGGTCCTCTCCACATACATTTGTCAGGTTTTATGACCTTGACCTCTCCACTCCTGGGGCGAGGTTGCTTGCTTCTTAGTGTGCGCAAGGACTTCACACAGAACGGGCATTTGTCACTATGGCGTAGTGGGTATGGGGTTCCCACCGCGTCTCAAACGCAGCTCGAAGTTCCCTTGAAAGGGAACGTCTCAGGTTACGTATGTAACCCTGGTTCCCTGAGAGGGAACGAGACGCTGCGTTTGCCTGCCATACTTCCTGCATGCCCTGATCGACTTGCTTCAGACTTTTTCAGAAGCTTTCGCGGTCTGTTTTCAAGGGTGCTTTATAGTTTCCTGGTCTATGACGTCACCCATGACGTATCGGGCTTCCATTGGACTGATTTTACACGTGCTTCATGACGCAATCACGCAGAGCGTTCCCACCGCGTCTCAAACGCAGCGTCTCGTTCCCTCTCAGGGAACCAGGGTTACATACGTAACCTGAGACGTTTTGTCTGGCCCTTTAAATGCAAATGAGCTGCAGCTCCCGACACAGTGGGCGGAGCTTCAAGAGTGTGTGTGTGTTAGCAGCTCCGATTACCTCACGCACACGCTAAAATGTCAGAAACTGTTCTGCCTTTTATGTTTAAACCAGAGTCAGACAAAGATGGAGAGACTAAGAAGAAGTGACAACATGTAGAATGCAACAGGACATCTCTGAATGGTTAGTTGATGAATTTATGTTGCTGATGTGGAGTTAACTATCTTCAATTAGCAAATTCTGTCAGGATAATCTATAAATCGCTTGTATTCATGGGTTTCAGTCACTGTTGTGAGATGCACACAGAGTGACTTTCTATTGCATGTGAAAAGACCGATGCTACAGTTTGAGCTGACTCACAAATGTGCTTGACTACAACAGCTCTTCCTCTTCTCAACATGGACTGTGTGTTCCCCATAGACTGTAAAAAAGGGTGTTCCCCGGGGTTTATGTAAATTTTAGGGTTAGTGATGTCACTAACTCGGGAGGAAGCTCGTGTAGTTCCTACCAGCCGTTTGTTGTAGTCCTTAAAAATGATTTCTTTAAAAGCAAATATCTCCCTTTGCTTTGAACTTTGAGCGTTGTAACTTTGCAGATGTTGTTTATGCTCAAACAGCAACATTACACACTAACTAAAGTTAGAAAAGTGAAATCATAATCAACCACCCATTTAAAAAAAACGAAACAGGTTATGAACATGTCAAAGCTAACGGGGCATTGTAATACTACGTGCTACAAAGAACGCTTCAATACCATACAGCATCATCATGCACCTGTTCAGAAAGTCAAATGTCACGTCATGTCAAAAACAGCTCAAACAAGCATTTTAGTCAGGGACTTGGCTTAAGCATTGTCTGTGAAATCGGGGAATATTTTTATATATCATATTTAATGTATTTATTGATTTTTTATGCTGTTTGTTTTATGGAAGGCTTGTCTATAGAAGGCTAATCTGTCCAATAATAGACTATACAGGTCCTTCTCAAAAAATTAGCATATTGTGATAAAGTTCATTATTTTCCAAAATGTAATGATACAAATTAAAATTTCATATATTTTAGATTCATTGCACACCAACTGAAATATTTCAGGTCTTTTATTGTTTTAATACTGATGATTTTGGCATACAGCTCATGAAAACCCAAAATTCCTGTCTCAAAAAATTAGCATATTTCATCCGACCAATAAAAGAAGTGTTTTTAATACAAAAAAAAAAGTCAACCTTCAAATAATTATGTTCAGTTATGCACTCAATAGTCAATACTTGGTCGGGAATCCTTTTGCAGAAATGACTGCTTCAATGCGGCGTGGCATGGAGGCAATCAGCCTGTGGCACTGCTGAGGTGTTATGGAGGCCCAGGATGCTTCGATTGCGGCCTTAAGCTCATCCAGAGTGTTGGGTCTTGCGTCTCTCAACTTTCTCTTCACAATATCCCACAGATTCTCTATAGGGTTCAGGTCAGGAGAGCTGGCAGGCCAATTGAGCACAGTAATACCATGGTCAGTAAACCATTTACCAGTGGTTTTGGCACTGTGAGCAGGTGCCAGGTCGTGCTGAAAAATGAAATCTTCATCTCCATAAAGCTTTTCAGCAGATGGAAGCATGAAGTGCTCCAAAATCTCCTGATAGATAGCTGCATTGCCCCTGCCCTTGATAAAACACAGTGCACCAACACCAGCAATGAATCTAAAATATATGAAAGTTTAATTTTTATCATTTGGCAATTTTTATCATTACATTATGGAAAATAATGAACTTTATCACAATATGCAAATTTTTTTAGAAGGACCTGTATAACTCTTCCTTTTTATTATACAAATTTGTAAATTTATACAACTAATCCGAGATCAGATAAAAAAATCATATAGAAAAATTCATGTGTTCCAGAGATTGCTCCCTAGTGACAGACCATTGAAATTTCTAAACGTTTACTGAAATCATGTGACTCTGGCAGTTTGATTACAGCTCAAAATCCCCATTCTAAACAAATGATTCACAAAGGTATGAGGTTTCACGAAGCAGTGTTTCGAAATCACTTGTCCGGCATAGTCTGTTGTTTTACTGGAAGATCAAGTTAGGATATTTTAAATAAAAATTAAAGGTAAAAAAAAAAAAACGTTTAAAAAAGTGAAACGTATGAATTATTCACAATAACATGCATTTAGAATATATAAAATAAATAAATGTATTTTTATTTCATATCAACTTTAAAGTTAGACTAATAGTTTATTCAACCCCATACTTAACTTTTAAACATATTCTTATTAATTACTAGTAATTGCTATTCAGTACAGTTGATTTAACTTAAAATATAATTTTGAGTCTATCTTTCAAAAATTTGTTGGCTCAACTAACTTCAGAAGTTGAGAAAACTAAAAAATGCTTTGCAGCTGGTTACCTTTTTTAACTTATCTTTTATTTATTTATTTATTTATTTTTTACAGTGAATGAATTGCAGATTTCTGTGAACAGATATTCAGTGAAAGAGCACAAGCTAGCCTGACAAAATGGCAGACGGCAACAGCTGCTACGCTAGGATTGGTCAGTAACCTTTTCAAGGCGGGACTTCGTGTAGGGTCAATTGTTTTGCTGTTCTTATACATGACATCAGTATCTGAAGTGTTTCTTGACCACAGATTGTCTGACAAACTTATCTCTAGTGGCCAGAAGTTTCATTTTGAGGCTACCCATCCATCTTTTCCTCACATTCGTCCTCATGCTGGCATGAGGAGAGCCTGCAGGGCCTTCACAGAAGGTCAGCTTGCATCTTCTCCGGCATCTGACTCACAGTCACCTCGCTGTAGGATGTACCAATCAGCACACAGGCAGTCCTTTGAGGCGTGGTCTGTTGACATCGAGGGTCCGCCTCGGTGCAATGAAGACAAGCCCCATGGCTGTCTGCCAGGCCATTGGAGAGGCGAGTGGAGTTGCTAGCATCCTTGTTGCAGCGTAGAGATGTTTGCTGTTGAAGATCCTTTTGTCCAGGCACAGGGCTTCCCTTACATGGGCTGGAACATATTCGTCTGCGAATCTGAGCTGTGTCCCTGCTCAGAGATTTACGAAAGTTGGGCTTAAATACCAGGTACACCACGGGGTTGTAGATTGTGGAGGATTTGGCAAAGATAGCTGCCAAAGCAAAGGCTAAAGGTGGGACGTTATTTGGTTCTCCAAATGCAGCCCACATTGCCACAACAGCATAGGGGCTCCAGGCGATCAGAAAACCAATGCATACCGCCACAGAGAGCTAGAAGAGAAACAGAAATAACTCATGAGAACATTTCCACATGTTCTGGAGAAAACGTCTAAATGGGTCATTCTTACGGTGGCCGAGAGAGCTCAACGCGCTGCAACTGAAGCAAACACATGCAAATAGAAAAAAACGTGTGCAAATAGAAAAAAAAAGTTCACAACACAACCAAATACAGAAACGCGCTGCAAATAACACAGACCACAACGGAAATTTTTCCAGGGGAACCAAACAAGTGACGAACCCGGCTGGGACGTGCTTATTGCTCGTGAGCTTCCCTATGCCCTACTCCCTTCGAAGGGCAGACGGCAGAGCCCTTGAAGTGGGCCTTTGGAGTGAGCAGGGCACTAGTGTGCTGTTATGCAGCCGTGTGGAACGCACTTGATGAAGGGAGACAACGTCATTTCCTCATTATTATAACCTGGGATGTTCCCATGACAACGCAGCACGGTGTCCATCAGCTGAAGAGCTCTTCTAAGTTACGACAGAAATATAATGCTGTTAACATAACGGTTGCAAATAAATATTTATTTTTACTTTACAAAAAGCTTTTAAAATATGCGTTATATAGGACCCTACATTACCTAACATTTCTTATGAAACTTTTCTTTATGAAAATTTAAACATAACATGAAACAATTTGTACTGTGTAACTGATGTATAGATACATTTCTTTCCCTCATGTTCTTCTTCTCTATCTTTTTTATTTATTTATTTCAGTTTTCAGCTCATTGTTCTTTTCTCATTTGTATTCTGATGACATTGAACATATTGCTAATACATTTTGTATATTGTATACAAGTTGTATGTCATAAAAATGTAATCTCTGTATGTTTTGCAAAAATAAATAAATAAATAAAGTAGAATTTTAAGCTGTAGTGTAAGTCTATGAGTGTAAGCACCAGCACGTCCCAGCCGGGTTCGTCACTTATTTGGTTCCCCTGGAAACATTTCCTTTGTGGTCTGTGTTATTTGCAGTGCGTTTCTGTATTTGTGTTGTGAGCTTTTGCAGCGCGTTTCTGTATTTGGTGGTGTTGTGAGTATTTGGAGCTCACGTGTGTTGTGAAACTGATGAAGATGTTTTCTTAATTTGCGGTTGTTTTTTTATTTGCATGTGTTTTCTTCATGTTGCAGCGCGTTGAGATCTCTCGGCCACCATACATTCTTCATTTTTGGTGACAGATGGTGTCCCTTATCTTTGCCACACTAAAAATAAACTATAATTGTCAATAAAACATGAAAATGTATATTTTTAACATGTAGTGTAGTGTAATGAAAATTGATACTTTAACTAAACAGGGAAATTTATTTGAAGTACTTATTGTTTATAACTATTTGATTTCCATATGTGGTGCTTGTTTTTTGACAATGTCACTCTTTATTTGTCTGTGGTGCTTGCATATTTGAAATATTTAGATAAAAAAAAATTCTGTAGTGACACGTGAAGGCCAAGTATGGTAACCCATACTACGAATTTGTCCTCTGCATTTAACCCATCCAAGTTAGTGCACACACATTAGGAGTAGTAAGAAGTGAGCACACACACTGCAAACACACACCCAGAGCAGTGGGCAGCCATTTTTGCTGCGGCGCCAGGGAAGTGCTTTGCTCAAGGGCATCTCAGTCATTTCCTGCAGATATTGAGGATCGAACCCGCAACCTTCAGGATACCAGTCTCACTCTCTAGCCATTAGGCCACGACTGCCTAATGGTTATCATTACTAATGATATAGTAAATAATGTTACTAATTCTTGCAAAATACCCACTGACCTTGAAACTAGCACAATGGTAGCCTCCATTTTATTTACCTCGAAAGACTAACACCACAGATAAAAACATGATTTGTCAAGAGGATTTCATTAAAATTACTTGGATCTTGAATTGTCACTAAGCTTTCGTTTTAGATCTAGCATATGAAAACTATTTTAAAAAGCATATAAATATAGTATATTATTATAAAGAATGATAAACATTTTTGACTAATTTCTATCTCTCATTTGTCAATCCAAATAGAGAATGACTGAATATACACACAGATTAAAGATTTTCACTGACTCTGCATGTCATTACACCAAGTCCCTTAAGGTAGGGAACAACGCCAAAAACCTAGCACTGATGAAAGCGACTGTGGCATCCCACCTCGCCTGTGTAGGGGGCAGAAAACGTTGCGCTTGAACACACTGCACAGAGTACAGCCGACGGCCAGCTAGCACATACATTCTGCGGCTGCGTGAGAGGACATGCCTCTCCCATACCAGCAGGTGGCAGCAGTCTGTATTCGGCATTCAAAAAGGGAAACTAGAAGAGCCAGATCTGTGGATTAGAGATGCACAGATCAGCTCTAATGTCACTGGAATCCGCTGTTAACTAAGCCGACTGACGCTCAAACACCTGACGGCCGACCATCGGCTAGGTGTGTCTTGGGCTTTTAGCACTGACTCTGATGTTTTATCCTCTCACCTTCACAATGAGGATGTGTGCATTTGTTGTCTTGGTCTGTGGCGACACGTGTTGCTGTACTGCCTGCCGTGACCCTTGTACGGTGATGAGGATCAGGATGTAGGAGATTAGGATGATGGTAAGAGGCAGCGCATAGCAGAAGAGGAAGAGGCAGATAATATAGGACATGGACAGAGCGTCCTGGCTTGGTGCATACCTGAAAGTTGAATAGAGAACAGGACATAGTGATGGTAATTAGGTACACTGCTAGATATTCTGACCTCCCTGTACAGTTTATTGCCTCTGGCTGTAATCACTGATCACTGAATGCTGATCGTCTGACCAGGGCCCTTAGAATCATCCCAACATTTCTCTCCATTACAGTGCCCCTGCCCTTGTTCACATGCCCAGTTTGTTAGTGTCACTGGGCCACTTGACTGAGACTGAAATTTATTTGAGGCAAATGAATTACTGGCCCAGTAGCTTAACGAATAAGGCACTTGCCTCCTAAACCAGAGATTGTGGGTTTGAGTCCAATCTGGGGTGGGTTAAAGCAGAAAGGTTGACCTCTGTTAAGATTTTTTTACTTAGATACTAAGGTCTTATACTTGAAGCAAAGCTTCCACAGCGCTATGCTAAATTGTTTAACCAAACATTATATATAAAAAAGGAGCAGTTAATGCGGGCCTTAAGTCTGTATGGGTTCTCTTCTTAGGCAAGCAGAATGGTACACTGGGAATGTGCTAGGCCAATAACCCAGAGGTCCATGGATCAACACCAAAATCTGCTATGGGCTTGTATGGCATTGTTAACTTATAAAGATGCCCAGACCCTAAATAAGGATTGAATTCCACTGTACAGGTGTAAAACACAAAACCTCTCAGTCCTGGAACTGATGCAATACTGCATTAATGTTCTGAGAAGCTGTTGAAGTAGCCATTTATCTAGATCAACTCCAGTCGTCGGGACCCACCTTACAGAATGTTTGAGATGTTTTCCTATTTAACAAGTTGATGAGTTGAATTAGGCGTTTCAATTATTGAGTCATCTAAACCATTCTGGGGAAGAACCTGAGGACTGGAGTGAAGAAACACTGATCTAAATGACTATGTTTGTTGGCCTTATTCAAATGCCCAGTTAATTGGTGCCACTGGGCCACCTGACTAAGACTGATAATTATTGGAGACAAAATGAGCCATAGGCCCAGCAGCTTAATGGATAAGGAACTTGAGTTTGAGTCCCATCTGTGGTGAGTTTAAGTAGACTTGTGCATCAGCATGCCAGGCCCATAATGAGGTTGCTTAATCAAAACCATTCTCTACTAAGCCTTCTTTACTTACATAGATACCCAGTTCTTACTCAAAGACAAAGCTACCACAGAGCTATGCTAAATTGGTCATTGTTTTTGCCAAACCTTATCTATGAAAAACAAAAGTTAATGTGGGGCTAAACACAAACTGTTTTGAAGATCGCTGGGTATGAGATCTGGGGCCATATTCACAAAGAATTTTAAGGCTAAAAGTAGCTCCTAACTGGCGAATTTAGGAGCAACTCCTAAAAATAATGGGCGTGTCACTCCTAACTTTAGGACTCCTAATTTTTTTCACTAAGAGTGAAGCATTTTAGCCCTAAAAGTAGCACCTAAGTCTGGGACAGCTTAAAAGAAGTCGAGAGGACTCCTAAAGCCTAGTTCACACTACATGATTTTAAAACGTCGGGCTGAACTGTCCGGTTCACACTACATGACTTGCTCTCTGTGAAATCAGGAGTGTTCAAGTTGTTGAGCTGTTCACACCACACGACACAACGTGATTGATCCGCAACAGGAGGTAACGCACTACACGAGTTGACAACAACTCTGTCACCCAACCATTCTATCTTGTCTACAAACCACGTTTTGTCACAAAAAATCACGCGATAAAACCGGAAATGACGCGAAACAGCACGCGCGCCAATACCCGGCAAAGAAGACGAAGACCCATGCCTTGCTCTGATTGAAGCAACCCATGCCTTGCTCTGATTGGCTGTAGCTCATGACATCACTGAGGTTGAGTCGGGCGACAGCTCTGGATATCTAGCATGCTAGATATTTTTCTGGGCTCGGCGACGCGTCTGCGAGGCGTCAGCGAGCGTCTTTGATGCGTTGTTGGCTCTTTCATACTAACAGATTGTCGAGCGTTCATCGTCCGCTAATCCCCCGCGATTTGCACGCGATAACACCCTGACCTGTCGGCGAGCTCAACGATTTGCAAATCGGGCTTAAATCGGGCTTATAATCCTGTAGTGTGAACTAGGCTTAACTCACTAAGACCTATTCACAAAGGATTGTAGCGCATACCACCGCCTCTCGCAGTCGTCTCGGGTCCGCGACACAAGCGGGAATGCTGCATTGATCTGCAAACAAATCCTCTCCCATGTGTTTTGCTTGATATCCCAGTGCCGAATTTCCCATTTATCTTTTTTTTTTTCAGCACCAACTGAGCCAGCAGCAGTAATGGTGTGTTCACACCGAACGCAAATTTAATTATTTGCGCGAGTAGATTACATACAAAGTCAATGCAAAGACACGAATGGACGCATCATTCGCGCCGGGCATTGCGAATGACACGAATTGGGCGACGCGTTTGCCGCGAATGTCTTCCGCGCAAGTTAAAAAATTTGAACTCGAGCGAATGTTCAAGCGTCTAACTAGACGCGATAGATGCGTATTTGACGCTCTATTCGCGTTCGGTGTGAACACACCATAACTGATCCTGCGTCCAGTTGGGCTTTCTTTTCCGTTTTGGCGAGTTCATAATCCACCGTCATTCAACGTTACATTACTTCAATAGGAGCAACATTTCCTTGCTTTAAGTAGTCTATTTAGGCTAATAGGATTAATGTGTTAATGCAAAGTGTTAATGCAAGTGTCGTTTTTCATTATTAGGAAAGTGGCTGTTTTCATTAGGGTATTAGGCTACCTTGATTTGATTTAATTTAATTCACGACTTTTTTTCTCTCTCTCTGCCTTTTTAGAATTACACTTCACTGGGGCATGCATAAACATGATATGCATTTCGATGACATCACTATTATTATTTTGTGTAGGACACAGACATATTTAGATGTCGTAATTCCATGATTTGTTGCGTCTGTGTTATGTTCCGCATGATGGCCCTGTCATCTAACAACCAATCACCGTGATCATTGCGAGGAAGCTCGTGCATGAGAATTGACGTCATCCATAGCAACGAAGACTCACTCTTAGTTTAGGAGTTGTCATTTTTCCTTATTAAGAGTAGGTCTTAAAGGCGTTGTGAATAACTTTTAAGAGAAAACTCCAAGCTAAAATATTTTAGTGCGATTTAGGAGTACTCCTAGTGGTAAGATAAAATTCTTTGTGAATACGGCCCCAGGTGTAAGGTGAGCAGAGAGGCACAGAAAAAGTGTGCTAGGCCCATAGCCCAGAGGCTGATGGGTCGAATGCATCATCTGCTTTGGATCCTTTTTCTTATTAAAAAAAAGGCCCAAACCCTAAATATGGAGTGAATTCCATCCAGGCTCCAAAACCTCTTAGTGCTGGAACTTATGCAATACTGCATGAATGTTGTGAGAAGTTGTTGAAGTATATATTCATATGGATGACACTGTCTGCATCCAAAAACTTGCTGCCTCGTTGCCTTATCAGGCAATGACTTTGAAGGCAGCGTTTACGCATGAAGGTACCTCACGAAACTAATTTCGGAAAGACTTCTGAGGTAGCGTAATGATTTAATGATCTACAGCAAAATAGAGCGAGCTTTGATGATAACTAAGCAAAATTTAACTACTACAACAGTATTTTATCGCAAGAAATGACATCAAAATGGAAAACATTGGTAAAAAACTTACATTTACACACAAACTGACCACCAACAGCAACTTTCAGATGGCATTTTTATTTTTATTTAGCTCAACTGTCACAGAATGGAAAGCACAGGATTGTGGGATATCAAAGGCAACGAAGTAAACATCTATGCTGCCTTCAAAAATCGATCAGATGAAGGTATCTCAGGAGACAGGAAGTGAAGCTAGCATTGGATTCGGACGTGCCTTGTTACCTTCTACCATGGAATGCGTCCTCCGAAGGCAGCATTTATAAGCTTTCGGACGCAGTCTATATTTGTTGAATTTGTTCAGATGCCTAGGATGTTGGTAGGAAATAAGCATTAGTCTCAGTGGCCTAATGGATAAGGCACTTGCCTCCTAAACCAGGGTTTGTGGGTTCAATTCTCATCTGGGATAAGTTTAAGCAGTGTTGTGGCCTAATCTATGAAGTGAATGTGGGCTCTGAAGTTGTTTTCAAGACACATGGGAATGGGAGCTGTTCTACGCATTAATAAACTATCATTTAGTTTGAATTTCCTCAAACTAAATGATAAGAAAACCGAGATATTAGTGATTGGCTCTGTTGCCTCAGTCAAAAGGATGGACCAGTCCTTTGATATTGATGGAACTCACATTAAGCCCTCGTCATCGATTCGTAACCTTGGTGTCTTATTTGATCAAACTCTATCCTTTGGCTCTCATATTTCTTCTCTTGTGAAAAACTCTTTTTTCCATCTTCGCAGTATTGCATTGCTTACGATCTTCTCTCACCTTAGCTGATGCTGAAACCTTAATTCATGCATTAATCACATCACGCCTCGACTATTGCAATGTCTTATTTCTTGGTCTTCCTAAAAAACGTATTGCAAGATTACAGTACGTTCAAAACTCTGCAGCGAGAGTCCTCACCTCTACTAGGCGTTCTGCGCACATTACTCCTCTGCTTTATGAACTTCACTGGCTACCTGTGGCATCACGTATCCACTTTAAGGTACTGCTTCTAACGTTCAGAGCATTAAATGGTCTTGCTCCACAATGTTTGTCTGACCTACTCCACCCTTACCGTCCTACACGGTCTCTCAGATCAGCTGAACTTGGTTTACTGTCCGTCCCTCATTTCCGGTTGTCTACTGTAGGAGGAAGGTCTTTCAGTACTAATGCTCCTCAATTATGGAATTCGCTACCTCTTACACTACGCAATACCTCTTCTGTGGCTACTTTCAAGACCCAGTTAAAAACATATCTTTTTAACATGCATTTTGGATAATGTGATTATATGTATCATATGTGACTGTAATATATGGGTTTCTAAATGTATTGTATGTACAATGTAAAGCGACCTTGAGCTTCTGGAAAGGCGCTATATAAATAAAACAACTTCTTCTTCTACGGCAAGCAGAGTGGTGCAGCGAGAGCATACTGTAACTATAGACCGCTGCAGGGATTACATACATTTGTAGGCCAACCCTTAAGTTAGCATTACCCTGGTTCCCTTGACAAAAAACTAATGGGATTTTTCAGTTGGCTTTTGGATTATTGCAAAAAATAAGCTCTGTGACCCAACAAAAGTTTAAGATCCTTATAAATTTCATTAGATTATTCTTCACAAATTTTTACACAATTTTTTTTAATTTTGAAGCCTAATTACAATCACAAGAAGGCTATAAACGGGCTACACCACTTTTGCACAACTTAAGCGTCACCACCACTAACTGAGACATATCTTTTATGGAACTATTTTAGTATAATAACATTTAACGTCCCATACACCATTTTTAGTACCATTTAGCCACTTGTAAACAACCACCTTTTTCAAAACACGTAAAAGCTTAAAAAAATCATGACTGACGGCTTTAGATATCTTGGTATTTTTATCACAGCTTCACTTAATGATCTTATAAACAATAATTATACCCCTCTTATAGAAAAAAATCAAGGTCAATTTGAAAACGTGGTGTTTACTTCCGATTTCATTTCTAGGGAGAATAAATGTAATTAAAATGAATATCCTTCCCAAGCTTTTATATTTATTTCAATCTTTTCCTAGTTATTTAAAAAGTTCATTTTTTCAAAGACTTCAATAAACACCTTTCAAAGTTTATTTGGAATAATAAAATGCCTCGGATCAAAATTTCCAAACTAATGAAGCCAAAGGACAAAGGTGGAATCGCCTTGCCAAATCTTCAGTTATATTATTGGGCAGCCCAGATTAAAAATATGATTAGTTGGTGTAATGAGAGGACCAATTCTATCTGGTATAATATGGAAGCAGCAACTTGCTCTCCACAACCAATTAGATTTCTACCATTTGTTAAGAATTATACAAAGCTAAAAAATATTTCGGAACATTATACCATATCAAACACTCTTCGAGCCTGGACTGATATTAAATCATATTTTAAAATACCCGCCTCTCTTTCCTTGTCTTCTCCACTATCTTTCAACCCTGATTTCCCCTTAACATTAATATTGGGCTTTCGACATGGCTGAAACTGGGAATCTCTCAAATTTCTTGTCTATATTCAGAGGGAACTCTTTCCAACAGATTGTGGAGCACGTATAAACTATCAAAGTCAAATCTTTACAAATATCTTCAGTTGCAACATTTTTTTTACACTAAAGATAGACAAAGGAGAGTTAAGAATGGACATAACAGAGATTGAAGACATTTTATTAAATCCAATCTGTCTAAAGGGATCTATATCAAGGACATATGATATCTTGTCTAGCAATTGCACCTCTGCCTTGTTGGGACTGAAGGAAGTCTGGGAGAAGGACATTGGTCAAACCATTGAAGAGAATGACTGGACTGTTGTATGTGATAACGTGTAGCCTAAATGTACCTCCCTTGGGATCCATGAGCTCAATTTCAAATTCTTCAATAGAATATACCTTACGCCGATGCGTATTTAAGATGTTTACCAACGCTACAGGCCTGTGCTTCAAGTGCAATAAAGATAAAGGCACATTCATGCATTGCTTTTGGTACTGTGACAAAATTTTGTCATACTGGAAGAAAGTACATAGTGTAATGGAAGACCTTCTTGGACTACACTTCGATATGACCCCAGCTTTCTATTTATTGAATCTTAATCTGAATACTCTGTTTAAAAAAGATGCAACACAACTATTTGTTGTCTTGGTATACTTAGCTAAAAAATGCATTTTGTTACTTTGGTCTGCATCACAGGCTCCATCCTTAAAAATGTGGACATCACAAATCGCTACATGGTTAGCACTTGAAAAGCTCACCTACGATAAACATACAAAATCTGACAGATTCTGGCTCATATGGTCTCCCCTTTTGGAATATATAAAGGAACTCCCTTAACAGGCATACCAAACCGCTTCTAATTTCTGCAAATTTTCTTTGACTTGCTATCTAAAGGATGCTCTAAGTCAATGTGACCTTGTTTATCTGTGGCTGTAAATGTAAATTTTCTACTGTGTGAAAAAAAAAAAAAAAAAAAAAAAAAATCATGACTGCATGGGGTATTACTGATATTTTGTTGTAGAATAAAACTTAATATCTTTAGCTTGTGTTAACCACACACCTTATTTCAGGCATTTAACCAAAACCCATGAATACAAACTAGGGATGCACGATATAGGATTTTGGCCGATATTCGATATGCCGATATTTTCAAACTAATTTTGCCCGATGCCGATACCGATATCGATATATTTTTTTTTTTTTTTTTAAGTGCAAAAAAAGCTTATTAAAGCTTCTATTAATGTTCTCAGTCAAGAGCAGTGAGTGATTTCCTCTGTGTTTTGTTGTTTTATTAACATTAACGGGATAGTTCTCCCAAAAATTTAAATTGTCATCATTTACTCTCTCAAGTTTCTTTCTTCTGTTGAAATTATAAAAGTTATTTGGAAGAATGTGGCTAACCAAACAGTTGCTGTACTCCAGTGACTTCCATAGTATATTAAAGCACAGGAAAGAATTGAATCCAGGTTTGAAACAACATTAGATATACAGAATTTTTATTTCTGGGTGCAGTATCTCTTTAAAGACAAGCGGCAGAATATTATTACTGTCTCTTTAAGAACTGCACGCGAGTAACGCGACGCGTCTAATATACACGCATTTGACAAGCAGATTTTCTCTGTTTGCTTTCACTTTAGACATAACCAACTTTGTTTATGTAAACCTTGTGTGTATTTGACAGTATCAGCGCAATAAGACTCGAAAGATTAGTCCAGTATGCAGGCGCTGTGACAGGCTTTTAGTTCCTGTGAGCGTCGGGTGTACGCGCTCAGAAAAGCGGATGTTAGAACAGCGCATCAGCACGTGAATGACATGTTTACCTAGCAAGACTTTGACGCACATGCAAACAATGAACTTTTGTGAATTGCAGTGTCCCGTGAGTGTAACTCTACCTCTGCGTTTACATGTGATGTGAATGTACGTCGCGTTGTACAGTATGTTGAGATGAAGGCGCCAGAATTGAACTGATAGAATGCACAATACTATGATTTTTCTTCAAAAGCAGATCGTGGAGACATTTTAATCGTCCACGATCAAAAACCGTGAGACGCGCACCCCTAGTTGGAAGTTTAAGTTGCTGGCGCTCATGCTTCGTTCACGGTCGTCACGTGCGCATAGGAAACACGCCACCCTATCGGCAAGACTCATCGGCAGAAATATACATATCGGCCGATGCCGATGATGGTCATTTTAAGCTTTTATCGGCCGATACCGATGTTGTCCCGATATCATCGTGCATCCCTAATACAAACCCATTGGCATTGGGATGATGGAACCAGAAGTGCAAAAATGCTTTCACACTCCAGGATTTAGGATTCATTTCTGTAGCACTCCATTCAAATGTTTTGATGTAAACCCCACAAACCCCGGTTTCAAAGACAAGGCTTAAGCCTAGTCCCAGACTAAAATGCATGTTTGAACTGTTTGAACTTAAAGGAACCTCCACTGACATATCTTAATATATGTCAGTTCCACTGTTTTGTCTCAAGATGCACACCAGTAATGTTTTATTCTAAGGCATGTTTATAAAAGCCATTTAAAGGCCCTAATTGAACTGAGGCCTCATCCGGGCTTAATCTAAGCACTGTTTGTGAAACCAGGCCAAAGACTCTTAGTCCTGAAACTATAGCAATATGGAGTGAATGTTCTGAGAAGCTGTTAATGTAGTCATTCAACTAGATGTCACAGTGTTTGTTGGCCTTGTTCATACAGTGTGTCCAGCTTATTGGTTTCACTGGGCTATCTGACAGATACTGGGAATTATTGGGAGCAAGAGAGCAACAGCCCCTATGGCATAAACAGATAAGGCCTCCCAAGCCAGGGATTGTGGGTTTGAGCCCCATTTGGGGTGGGTGGAAATGTGCTGGGCCAAGAGGCTGATGCAGGACTGTCTTCTGCTAAGAATACTTATGTAGATGCCCAGATCCTGGACTGCAACCAACCTCGGCTACAACTCATCTTATAAAAGTGCCCAAACCAAAATAAACTCTGCAGGATAGTGGTTATCCAGGAGGAGGTTTGGACACCCCTGCTATAGCTACCTTTCAGTTCAGTTCAGTTCCAACACTCCTGTCTGTAATTATCAAGTGTTCCTGAACATCTTAGGCCTTGTCCACACTAATACGTTTTTGTTTAAGAACACATCTTTTTCTCTCCGTTTTGACCTTCCGTCCACACTGAGACAGCGTTTTTATTAATGAAAACAAAGCTTTTTGAAAATGCTCTCCCAAGTGGATACATTTGAAAATGCTGTTTTCGCGTTGTAGTGTGGACTGTCAAAACGGAGGTATTTAAAAACGATGATGTAAGTTTAATCATGTGACACATATTGTACCAATAGATATTCATGTCTATTCTGGTATTGTGCCAATTCAAAATCTAAAAATAAGAAGAAATAAGAATCCAATATACTTTAATAAATATGCCTTTCAGACAGAATATCAGTCTCTAGATAAGAATAGGGGTCTTTTGATTTGGGTCAGTAAGCAACCACCTAGAACACACACTACTCAGACGATAACAATGCCCTTTGCCCAGGCAATCACACTGAACACCCTAGCATTGTGGCACTAATGTTGTATAAATTGCACACATCTGGCTTGCTATGGCTGGTTTTCTGAGAATCCTTTAGAGAATCCTAAAATCCTTTTCCATTAACATCCTCCCAGCCACTCACCAGTCTATGCAGCATGCTGTCCCATAGGGTTCAGGGCCATACTGACCCCAATTTGCCAAGGGACCCATAGCAAACACCATGGCATAGCACCACACCCCCACAATCATCAGACAGGCATGAGAGTAGGAGAATTTGTTTCCTGTTAAAGGAAAGCAAACACATAAAAAGGATTAATTCAGCACAAAGTATTGATCACTTTCAAATGTTTTAATACGGTGTTGCAGAATGTTACAGTACTTTTAAACTAGAGATTATAAATAGAAATTGAAAACTGAAAATGAATGCATTTTGAAACCAAAGCCTAAAACAGTAAACTTTTAGAATCACACCACTTCCTGTTGCTCTAATTCATTTTTTCTCCCACATGGTCTTATGGTAAGACCCTTATTCTTGCAATGTTGTCAAAAGTACACAAATAAATTCTTTGAATAAAAGTTTTTATTTTTTATTTAAATGCTTACCTTTTGGAAAGGACACCATTTAACATCAAAGTCATAAACAATAGTGTTGCAGGGATGATGTATTTTTTGTAGGCCAAACCCCAGAAACAAGTTAGCATTTTAGCACATCTGGTTGCATTGTCCTGAATTCAATGTAAAAAAAAAAAAAATGTTTTCATTCATGTTTCGTCATATTTTTTAATTCAAAATAACTTCCCCTCGTTCTTGCAGCGACATCTCTTCTCTTTTCTGATGACGTGTTTACTGATGCAAGGGCGGGACAAGCTGTCACTCACATGAGATCAGCCAATAGCAAATGACAGCTAACCAACGATCCAATCAATTCCGATAGACAAAATCAAGTCCCACCCTTAGTTTTTATTGTTTGAGAAGCCGTTTCACTCGGATGTATATCATAATAAGGAATAAACGAGTATGGCAACTTCTGTTTCAAGCCGACTTTATCACTGTCTGTCACGGTGTGGGTTTTGTTTCTTATTCCTTGTTCTTGTCTGTCATGTGATTCCCTGTTTGTCATGTGTCTTGTTAATTGTCTGATCATTGTCCCCATGTGTTTCTGATTAGCCACGCCCCCTTGTTATCTTGTTTAGCTTGTTTGTCCTTGTATTTAAGCCCTGTGTTTCAGTCCAGTCCTTGTGAGTTCTTGTTGTTGTTACGTCGATTGTAGGTTATTCTGTTCCCGAGTCTTGTTCCCTTGCCTGAGTCTTTGTATAGTTTAAGTGTATTTAAATAAACGTGCTGCATTTGGATTCTGCCTCCTCCTTGCTTCAACCTCACCTTCATAACAGAAGAACTCACCACACCAAGATCCAGCAGCCGACCATCACTGAATCCAGCAGTATGGAGTTTTTCGGGTTTTCCTCAACCACTTGGGACAGAAAGCCTTTCAGGGGAACCCGTCTGGTCAAGTTTAGGGGAACTCGTGGAGGACGTAGGGGAGGAGATCCTAGAGTTCCGGTGGTCCCAGTTCCGGTGGTCCCTAGTCCGGTGGTCCCGAGTCCGGTGGTCCCGAGTCCGTGGTCCTGAGTCTGGTGGTCTTGAAACGGAGGAGGAGGAGGAGAAAGGCCTCCTCAACGACTTGTCCGGTGGCTCCTAACCCAGAGACCATCCCGGAGGTGACTGCCATACCTTGCTCTGCCCGCGCCGCCCAGGCGCCCTGCACTGCCGACCCCGCTCAAGCTGCTCGCCCTGCTGGCGCCACCCCAGCGACAGGCACGTCTGCCCAGTCAGAGACTGTTCACCTCCCGTCTGCCCAGACTGAGACTGTTCACGTCCCGTCTGCCCAGCCAGAGACTGTCCTTGAGTCTGTTCCTGAGCCGGTGTCTGTTCCTGTTCCTGAGCCGGTGTCTGTTCCTGTTCCTGAGCCGGTGTCTGTTCCTGTTCCTGAGCCAGTGTCTGTTCCTGTTCCTGAGCCGGTGTCTGTTCCCGAGCCACGGTCTGTTCCTGTTCCCGAGCCGGCGCCTGCTCCAGCCTATGACCCCGTAGCTACCCCCAAGAAAATTTTTCTGGTAGGTTTTCAAGTAGGTCACCGTCGTGGCCGCCCAAGGGGTCGTCACCGCCCTGGTCGCCTGCAGATCCTGCTCCGCCCTGGCCACCTGCGTATCCTGCTCCACCATGGTCTGCGCCTCATCCTGCTCCGCCCTGGTCGTCTGCAGTTCCTGCTCTGCCCTGGTCGCCCACGCTTCACGACCCAGGTCCGCCATTGCTATGCCCTGGTCCCGTTCCCCTGCACGGACCTGGCCCTCCATCCCTCCCCCAAGACCGCCTTTTTTGATGGGCGTCGGGAGCCGCCCATAGAGGGGGGGCTATGTCACAGTGTTGGTTTTTGTTTCTTATTCCTTGTTCTTGTCTGTCATGTGATTCCCTGTTTGCCATGTGTCTTGTTAATTGTCTAATCATTGTTCCCATGTGTTTCTGATTAGCCACGCCCCCCTTGTTATCTTGTTTAGCTTGTTTGTCCTTGTATTTAAGCCCTGTGTTTCAGTCCAGTCCTTGTGAGTTCTTGTTGTTGTTACGTCGATTGTAGGTTGTTCTGTTCCCGAGTCTTGTTCCTTTGCCTGAGTCTTTGTATAGTTTAAGTGTATTTAAATAAACTAGCTGCATTTGGATCCTGCCTCCTCCTTGCTTCAACCTCACCTTCATAACAATCACAAGCTCAAGATATTTTCATGTTTTATTCTACAACATAAAATCCATCAATACTTGTATTTAAGCATTACAGTTCATTAATGGTGTATTTGTGAAGATTATCATGATGAACAAAATGTGTAAGAATAATAATCTTTTGTTGGTCACAGATATTATTTTCTAAAATAATCCAAAGGCCAATGGAAAAATCCTAAATTTAAAAAAAAAAAAAAAAAAAAAAATTGGGCTTTTTCAAGGAAACCAGGGTGATGCCAACTTCAGGGCTGACCTACAAAAATATGTTATCACTACAGCACTATATAGTATCTGCCCTTGCCAAATGGGTCCAAGCAGGATCCCAAAGCAGTTCTGTAGGCCTACTTTTAATGGGAACCTTGTTCTGTGTTTGATTAGAAAACCCAAATATTTGATTTATAATATATGCATCTTAACTATGACCAATAACTTTAAAATATATGTATAACGAAAAATTGCAGAAGCTATAGACAGTAAAATTAAACATTAGTAATTTTTTGAGTTTCAGCATAATAGCTTTAACATATTTCTAGACTATTAGGGCAAGATTTACTAAACGGGGCAAATTAGCGTGAAAATTAGCCTCCTCCCATAAATTTTACATCTGAAAGGGAAACTCCTACAAATGCATTAGCAATAAGGTCATCTGGCAAAAATAACCCTGCCCATGCCCTTCAGCGCAAATTTTTCAATGCGTGTCAAAAGAGGGTTTGCGCTGGTGCAAGCTGTTGGTAAATTTGGCCCATGGTCTGCTAGCTTTGCCTATACTCTACACAAGCCATTTACTCTACACATATTAGCAAATCATTTGCATTGCAATCAAATGCATTTGCTCAGACATTATAGACATCTATCTTTACACCAGAGGTGGGTAGTAACAAAGTACATTTACTTTGTAACATTTAGTTTAGTGTTTTTTTTGGGGGGGAATTTGCACTTTTAAGAGTAGATTTAAATATGGGTTCTTTTTCTTTAACACAAGTACATTTCTAATGAAAAAACGGTAACACTTTACAATACGGGTGCACTAATAAGCATTAATTCATGCTTAACTAATGCACAGATAATAGTGAATTAATGTGTAACTAATTAATGATTAATTAATGATTACCACATTAGGAACTAATTAAGAGTCTGTATGGTTAATGTATTAGTTCACACATGAATTGTTATTAATTAAATATGTAATTGTGAATTAATTCCCTAATAACTCATTTTTTTAACTAATAGTGTTAATTAATATGTTAATTACCAGAATGAGCCAAAGCCTTGTATTTCAACTTCGAGATAATACAGGTACACTAATATGCATTAATACATGATTAATTACTTCATTGTTAGTGCAAATTCATGTGTAAATTACTACAATTACTAAATGACTAGTTAAAAATTATGTGCCTCAACAAGTAAAGTCATAACATAATGATACATTTGCAAATCATTAGCTAATGATTAATTAAACCAGACAACTGGAAGTTGAAGTGCATAGCTTTGACTAATTGTGGTAATTAACACATTAATTTACACTATTAGTTAATAAAATATGTTATTAAGGAATTAATACACAATGACACATTGAATTAATAGCAATTCATGTATTACTTAATCTATTAATCATATAGACTCTTTATTAGTTGCTGATGCAGTGATCATTAATTAATGGTTTAGTTCTTCATGAGTCATACATTAACTCATGATTATCTGTGCATTAGTTAAACATGAATTAATGCATATTAGTGCACCCGTATTGTAAAGTGTTACCGAAAAAACTGTACTTTTACTTCGTTACGCTGGGCGACGTTCCTCTCGTTACTTTATTTTAATGCAATACATGTTAAGAAATGCGTAGTTTATTCCAAGCACAATATTCCAAGTCTCTTTTTTTTGTGGGGCTCAAGTGATGCTCAATTCACAAATTAATCACTCTTTTGAACGAATTCTGTTGAAAGACTTGATCAAACAAGTTGGCAAAACTGTCTAAATTGGTTCGCGAATCTGTTTGAATTATTTGTTCAGTTCCCTGCACGCACTGAATCGTCTGAAGCGGTTCTTGAAGTGGCTAACTAGCTACTTGAGTAGTTTTTTCATTGGATATTTTTCTTAATCTTACTCAAGTAACAATTAGGATTATTAGTTTTACTTTTACATTTACTTTGAGTAATATTTCTATAAGTAGCCTACTTGTACTTTTACTTGAGTACAGTTTTTGGATACTCTACCCTACTCTGCTTTACATGAACCCATTTGATGGGGCAGACCCAACTATTTATGACACCGTAGCCGGTAGCCAGAATGTAAATTTGTAAAGAATGTAAAAATACTGTTTCTGGTTATGAGATCCTTCCATAAGCAAAGCAAAGAGTTCTGTGCACGCCAGCTTAGCAACTGGCATTGAGGTGAATGCTTCTGCAGCACTACTTGGTTACCCTCAACACTGCTTATAATACAAACTATAGGCTACTGTATATTACTCTCTCAGGTGCCGAGTTAAAGAACCACATCTTATCTGGCAACGTGCCCTCTAAAATCTTCAACTGCATCCCAAACGTGTTTGCTTCCCTTCCACCTACAGAATCCATCTGTTCACCTGCTGCCCTTTTTGCCATCGTTATCTCTGTTCTCAAGCTCACCCACATGCTGATAAACTATCCCGCTTGAATTTTCTCCTCCCTCCCACCCACACCTTCATCTTTTCAAGTCAATCAAAAGTTGAAACCAACAAAACTAATGAACTGAGGCCAACTGCTCCTGTCCATACATAGGAGTATTGACCAGAAGCCGAACAGACACTGGGCATCTAGACCCTGATGAAAATGAGAATATCCAATGAAAACATTGGAGAAAGCCATAAGGTAATGAATTTCCCTTTAGCGTGCATCACGGCAGGACAGAAGGGTTGCATCCGATTCTTAATTAAGATAAGGAGGAGGGCTTGGGAGGAAGATAAATGTATTGTGGTGTGAAAGGTGTCGAGGAAGAATACCATAGTTTGGGAAGCAGACTTTGAGGCAGCAGACGGATGACAGAGCGGTGAGATTTGTCAGGCTGGATAAGCCGAAGAGGACGCCACATACAGCATAGCATAAACATGTCAGCTCTCCAAACAACCACCTGAGAGAATGAGAGAGATTTACATTTACATTTATGCATTTGGCAGCCTGAGAGAGGCAAGTAAAAAAATCAAGGTACAATGACTTTTGTGTTTTCTACAAAGCCCCTATAAGAGACATGGTGATGTAAAAAAATATGAGATGGGAGGAAAAATTATGTCAATATGTCAAATGTTTTGAAACTTTACATTCGCTCGCAAAATGCTTGCATTACCCAGAGAAACTTTGTGTTCGCTCGCAGACCTTTTGAGTTCTTTGTGAGGGAACGCAAAGTTTCTCGGGGGAAAACAAACGTTTTTTTTTGCGAGGGAACGCAAAGTTTCTCGGGGGAAAACAAACGTTATTTTTGCGAGGGAACGCAAAGTTTCTCGGGGGAAAACAAACGTTATTTTTGCGAGGGAACGCAAAGTTTCTCGGGGGAAAACAAATGGTATTTTTGCGAGGGAACGCAAAGTTTCTCGGGGGAAAACAAACGTTATTTTTGCGAGGGAACGCAAAGTTTCTCGGGGGAAAACAAACGGTATTTTTGCGAGGGAACGCAAAGTTTCTCGGGGGAAAACAAACGGTATTTTTGCGAGGGAACGCAAAGTTTCTCGGGGGAAAACAAACGTTATTTTTGCGAGGGAACGCAAAGTTTCTCGGGGAGAAACAAGCGTTTTTGCGAGGGAACGCAAAGGTTTCGCAAGCGAACGCAAAGTTTTTCATGGGAACACAAGACTTTTGCAAGAGAATACAAAGCCATTGAAATATTTTTTTCCTCCGATCTAATATTTTTTTTTATCATCATGTCCCTTTAGGGGCTCTGTAGTTTTCACTATAGCCATCTCAACATTACAAATGTGGGACAGTATTTTCAATAACTGAATAATTGAATAATTAATAATTAAATAATACTATTCTTAATAATAATATTTCTCACAATCACAAATTTATTTCTAGAAATTGCTATTTTATATCTTACAATGTGATTTTGTCTTACAATTGTGACCGTCTCTCACAATTGCTACTTTATTTCTCGTAATTATGATTTTATATTTTTAATATAAAAATTACCTTTAAATTACACTTGTTTCTTGCTATTGCGATTTTATATTTTATTCATATAATTGCAACTTTATATCTTGTAATTGCTTTATTCCTTGCAATTTATATATCACAATGAGACTATTTCTTATTTTATTTCACAATTACCTGTTTTATTTTTTATTTTTAAGATGGAAAAAAGGTTTACATACATTGTTGATTCCAGTACTAGCAAAAAAAAAACAAGACGTATTCTGATTGTCATGAAAACAGCAAAGTCTAGCACTGTGTCTCAACCCTCCGCAACAATAAAATGACAAGTGTGAGTCACTGTACTGTTGGTTATTGTAGTAGGCGTTCCTACTCAACTGCAGTATCCAACTGTATAAAGTTTGTCACGTTGTGGCACAGTGTTAGGCAGTTCTGCGGCAGCTTTGGTCCTGTGTCAATGAAATGGCGCATCAGAGCTGCCTTAGACTTTGTCTCTGATACTATGGGGTGGTCATATTTTAGCACATATTTCTTGTGGTATTTTCCTACTTGTGAGCAAAGGCTGATGGAATCGCCAAGGGAAAGAGTGTAACTGTCATTCCAAGGTCACTAATAGATAAATTTATGATGAAGAATTCTGCCGGCTTCAGAGATGATCTCTTACGATACGCAACAAGGAGCAGGATGCCATTTCCCAAGAGTGACAGAATACCTAAAAAGAAAAAAGAAATGCATTAAGTGAATATTCGCTACCACAAGCAGTTTGTTTTTCCTTGTTCTAACTTCCTGCAACCCCTATTTTACTGTTTTGTTATTGCTCTGACAGCTCGGCAAGAAGTAAAACTGCAATGATTTATTCTGGCACTTTACAATTTGAAGCCGCAATTTGAATTGCCGTATGTCCTCTTACTCCGTTTGCCAGTGACCTCTGAAGTTCTGATCTAACATCTCTTGATAATTTATTTTTCACAATACAGTATAGCTGTAGCTCAAAAATGCATCGCTTTAGCAACACCAAGGTTGTGGATTTGAAATGCAATGAATAAAAAAAATTATATGTTGAAAGTAGTGTATGTTGCTTTGGATAAAAACGCATACCAAATGCATAGACATAAATATTACACACCAGAATTGTGTGTCATTAAGAAATTAATGTTTTTTTTTTTTAAGTTTTAAATGTTTTTAATATTCGGATACAATTTATTTAAATAATCCACTTTAGACATTCTACTAACTATAAGTCATTTTGCAACTATATGTCAACTAACTCTCATTACAGTTGTCACGGAAGGCTGAAGATAATGATGAAGGGAGGACCTAAAAGTCGAAAAGAAAAGAGCATAAACCAACAAGATAATCCAAATAAGCGGAAAGATAACATAACAGCGTGTAAAAAAAAAAACCCCACAAACATTACCAGACAAAGTGTGACTGAACTGAAGGCATTAAATACACAAAGGACTAATGAGGAAATGAGGAACAGGTGCATGTGAATCAATGAAACAATGAATAACCATAGCAATGGAAGAAAACAAAGGAAATTACGATAAACAAGCTAAGGGTTAGATTTACTAACAGCTTGCGCCAGTGCAAACCCTCTTTTGCCGTAAAAAAAGTACTGTCAGGATTTATTAAAGACATGCAGTGGAAAATTTGCACTAAAAGACATGGACAGGGTTATTTTTGCAGATGACCTTATTGTATATACATTTGTAGAAGTTTCCCTTTCAGGCGCAAAATTTATGGGAGGAGAGAATTTAAATGAATCATGCAAGGTGATTTACTAAGGTTTGCGCTAGTCAATTTACTAGTATGTCTGCCATTATTTGCCGCTCCAAAAAAAGCACGTCTTAAACCAGACGCTAATTCGTGCTGCTCTTTGTAGATTGCGTTGGTCATTATGGAAGTGATCTGGCTGCGTTGATGTTCTTTAATTTGTGATCAGTAGATCACCTGCAGATCTTCCTACTCCCACCGGTACTTTTTTCATTTGGCCTGTTTATCAAATTGATCAAATCAAAGAGTCCTTAAAAAATAAAACCGAAAGCATGACAGGTTGTGAGATGACATGACACACTTCTTCCACTAAGACTTTCACTTTGCTGGTCCAGTTTAGGGGTCAGGAGCAGCTTTCCACAGGGGTTGTCACTTTTTGTCGAGTCCAGTTTCATTTTCATGGACTTTAAGTTTGCTGTGCATTATTTCCTGTTTCCTTTGTTGCCGTTTCCCCTCTTATCAATGGTTGTCATGGTTATTCATTTATTCATTGATTATCTCACACCTATTTCGCATGTATTGCCCTCAGTTCTTTCAGTTATTTGTCTAGTGTTGGTTGTGTTTTACACACACTGTTTTGTTTGTTTTTGTATTAGATTTCATTCTTTTGTCTAATTTAATTCATGTTTATGCTACTAAAGACCTGCTACGCCTCACCTTGTCATCTTCATTATCATAATGTGACGAGTATTAGTAGAATGTTAGGTTAGGGTCAAAGTTTGGGTTAGTAGAATAAGTTGGCGTACTTACAAAGTTACTTTTAGTCAGTAGAACGTCTGTTGGGGAGCATCAAAATAAAGTGTTAGCAGATATTAAGCAGACACTATTAATACTCTAATGATGCTAGTTGACATTTAGTTGCAAATTGACTTAAAGTTAGTAGAATGTATAAAGTGGACAATCAAAATAAAGTGTTACCTAAAATTGTAGTTTAATTAGCAAGCAGAATTGTACTTTAAAGTTGATTTTAAGGAAGTGGAATTAAACAACTGTTTAGTTGTGACGTCAATTTGTAGGCCACTGTCAAAGGCAAATTTGCCATGGTTTCCCTCAGAAATTCCATGTGGGTTTTGGTTTTATTATTTGGATTTATCAGTGTTCAGTTCATCAGGCATGTAACCTCACATCCTTGTGGTAGCTGTAATGCTTATTTAGCTATGCTGTAATGTGAATAAACCTCTATCAATACCTATGGATGTTTCGTGTAATGATTTAGACAATTCAAGGTCATCCCCAAGTGCAAACCACAGCTAACCATTCAAGGAATTAGCAGTTTAGTAGAAATATGAAGGACCACTAGAGCAAGGATATACTTTCAAAGCTGAGTACTCTTTTTCTAACATGAAGTACATTTTGCTTTCTGCGTCAATGGCATTTTTTGTCGTATCTATTAATTCATACAATAAAAATGTAATTCATACTGTAAATACAATAACTTGAATACACCTCTTTTGTGATGAGAATGTTTCTGATTTAAAAACTGTCTTGGTATCATAATTAGACATAATACTCATTAAAAGGATACAATTCTTGAAAAGAAAACGTCTGAGGTTACGAATATAACCCTAGTTCCGAGTAGGGAACGAGACGATGCGTCGATGACGCTTTGGGAACACCCGTCGTAACCTGAGATGTTCCCTTTCGAGGGAATTCGGGAACGAGAATACCCAAATCACCAAACTTACGAATGCCTGAGTGTCAGCCTGTTGTCAGATCTAACACTAAGCACTAAGCACAGACCTAGGGCAGCGTCCAGGTCCAGGCTATAAAACCTCACGAAAGTGAGCGGCGAGGACCAACCCACCGCATCGCTAATGTCTTGGAGAGAAACCCCATATAATAAGGCTTTAGAGGCCGCCATACTCCTAGTGGAATGAGCTCTGACCACCAAAGGGCACAGCTGGTCAGAGGACTCATAAGCAAGAGAAATAGCCTCAACTATCCAGTTGCTAACTGTCTGCTTAGAGGCTGGAAGACCTTTCTTGGGTGATCCAAAGCAGACAAATAACTGATCGGAATTTCTCCACGGAGAAGTCCGATGAACATAAGTGTCCAGTGCTCGCACTGGACACAAGAGGTTCAGCTTTTCCTGGTCCGAAGAGGTAAACGGAGGAGGACAGAAAGCCTGGAGCACAATAGGCCTCGGAATAATGGTCGGCACCTTAGGGACGTATCCCTGTTTAGGGTATAAGAAAGCCTTGACCATCCTGGGCGGAAACTCAAGGCAGGTGGGAGAAACCGAAAGGGCCTGAAGGTCTCCGACTCTTTTGAGGGACGAAATAGCTAGCAGAAAGATGGTCTTAAATATATGAAATTTCTCTGAAACTGAATCTAAGGGCTCAAATGGAGCCCCAGACAGGCCTTCTCAAACTATTGAAAGGTCCCAAGCCTGCACCCTAGTGCGAGTTGCAGGCCTTAGCCTCATGGTGCGACAAAGGAAACGTGTGATCAGAGGGTCTCGACCCAACGATGCACTACCCACCGGGGCGTGGAAAGCCGCAATGGTCGCCACATAGACCTTTAGGGTGGATGGACATAAACCTGACGCAAAGCGATCTTGCAGAAACTCAAGTACTGTACTAACTGGACAGTTAACCGGATCCCACTGACCCTGGTGACACCAAGAAGTGAAAACTCTCTATTTCAGTGAATATAGTTTCCTCGTAGCGGGAGCTCTGGAGCTTATAATGGTCTTAACAACCTCGGTTGAGAGACCATTCTCTATGAGTTGGGCCCCCTCAGAAGCCAAACCCATAGTTTCCAAATATCTGGCCGAGGGTGAAATATTGAGACAAAAGGTCTCTCCTGATCAGGATCTCCAAGGGAGGGCCGCCGAGGAGATGAATTAGGTCCGCAAAACAAATTCGACTTGGCCAGCGTGGTACTACTAGCAGTAGGCTTATTCCATCCTGGCGCACCATCTCCAGAACTCCTGGGAGCAGAGCAACAGGGGGAAATGCGTACAGACATAGCCTCGGCCAAGTCTGCACCATAGCATCCAGCCCCGGGGGGCTGGGTGAGTGAGGGAGAACCAAAGTGGACAGTGCGTCGTGTACTGAGACGCAAACAGATCCACTTCTGCTAGGCCGTAAAATTCCCATATTTGCTCCACCACCTCGGGGTGGAGTCTCCAATCCCCTGGCCTCAGGCCCTGCCTCGACAGGGTGTCTGCTCCTATATTCTGGCCCCCTGGAATATACACTGCCCTCAGAGAGAGTTTTTTCCCTAGGGACCACAGGAGGATCTGGTGCGCCAGTTTGCAGAGTGGACCTGAACCGGACCCCCTGACGATTTATGTAAGAAACCACCGATGTGTTGTCTGTCCGGACAAGCACATGATGGCCTCTCAGGTCTAGGAGGAAATGTCTCAACGCATTGAAGACGGCCATTATCTCCAGGCAATTTATGTGCCAAGAGAGATGATGACTCCTCCACAGACCCTGAGCTGAGTGGACCTTCCATTACCGCTCCCCAGCCAGTGAGGGAAGCATCTGTCGAGATCGCAAGTCTGGCCTAACAGTCTCTCGAACTGTTTCACAATGCGTGACTGGCCTAGCTTTAGCTCTTTCGTGGCTGTAAGGATAGCAGCTACACGAGCGGGCGATAGGACGGCTCGCATCGTGACCGAATCCCAGACCACACCAAGAAAAGTGGTCTACTATCCGCAGGACCCATTGAGATATGTTTGGCAGATTCTTCCATTCTGTCCGAAAATCTACTAAGGGAACCAGCCTCTCGAGGCTGGCCTCTGGTGTAATTGAGACAGCCAGTTCAAGGACCTGAAGCATACTGGCAGGAAACACCCGAACTGACTGTTTTTGAACCCCCCCCTCAGAGGGTGCGAGTCTGACGCAATGTCGAGTACAATGTTGACACTGCGTCAGAAGCATATGCTGGAGGCTGCTGCGCCCCGAGGCACCAAGGGTGGCGGGGGTTGACAAAACGGCCCCCTGAGGGCACCGAGATGGAACGGGCACCATTTACTGAGGTGTACACCGCTCCACCCCAGTCGGGGCTGCGCTCACTGGTCTGACGCCAGTGGCGTCAGGACCTCTTTTGAGGCGAAGCCTTCTTAGCCTGAAGAACGGTCCTCAGATCCGGCTTCTGCTTCGAAGACTTCGGCTGAGAGTGTTGGGTCTGCTTCCAATATTTTTGCAGAGGGGCACGAGACGCAACACTCTTTTTTGTTGTGCTCGGTATGAGGAGCTAGACGGCTGGGGCTGCTCACGCCCAGCTAGGAAGATTTTTTTTAAAAGCCTCTGCCTGCTTCTTAGCCTCCTGGAACCTCTCAATGACTGAATTAACAGCGTCGCCGAAGAGGCCAGAAGGATTAAAAGGAGCGTCTAACAGGAAAGCTCTATCTTTCTCTTTAATCTCTGCTAGATTGAGCCAGAGGTGTGGCTGCCATAGTCCACCCAATTGCTCTGGCGGTCTCCTTAGTAGCCCTGAGAAATAAATCTGTGGCCCAATGAAGTTCTCGAACCTCATCGGGCTCCACTCCCTCACTGCTGTCCAGATCCCCCAGCAGATCCGCCTGATATGCTTGAAGCACTGCCATAGTGTGAAGGCAGGCTCCGGCTTGACCTGCTGCCGTATATGCTTTGCCCACTAGATTAGATGTAGTTTTTAATGGCTTAGTGGGCAAAGCCGAAGCCTTCAGGGACGATGCTGAACTGGGAGACAGATAGCCCGCAAGCATCTGTTCTGCCCGGGGCATCGCCCCATAGCCATACTCTTTCAACCCCCTTATATCTGAATATACGTGAACTCGGGGGCTGAAAAGACGGGACGAGTCTGGCTTATTCCACGATCTACTAGACAATTCACTGTGCAGATCGGGAAAAAATGGAAGGCCCCGTGATGGAGGTGAAACATTAGATGTAAGGAAGCCCCTTTTCTCGGCTGGCCATTCAATATGTAACTTATCTACAGCACGAGTAATCACCTCCACCAGCTCCTCATACGCTTGGGAAAGAGTTGGCGAATCCTCTTCCCCCCTGTTTGTGTCACTTTCAATGCTTAGTACATCCACCTCTTCGGAGCTGGAGTACTGAAGCACTGGGCTCTCTTTCGACACCTGAGAGAGAGCACTGGATCCCTCAGGTAAGGGAGGAGATAAGACCCTCGGACCCGTCTCCAACCCCGATGAGAGATCCATTTGCGATCCCCAGGAATGTGTTCTCCGTGCTGCCTCAGCAGCAGTGGGTCCTTCACCCTGAGGATCGCGAGCCTGGACACTTTCATCAAAAAGTGACAGGCGGGAGCGGAGCATGCGAAGCGGAAGCTTCTCACAATGCTGGCAATCAGCCCCCTCAAAGGCTGATACTGCATGCTCCACTCCCAAACACATCACACAAAGCTCGTGTGTATCCCCACCCATTAAATAGCGCGGACAGGGCGAAGCACAGAGTTTGTACAATTGTTTCGCCATAGTGTTTCTTAGATAGAACGTGACAGACAACAGCAAATATAACAGACAGTTTTGACACAGATCGCTTGCTGAGGCAACAGAAGCTAATGCCGGTTGTACCGGATCCGTTTCTATCTCTTCCTGGTCATGACGTCACCCGTTCATTCTTTCCATTGGACTAGTTGACATAGATGCTTTAGACGCAATCATGCTGGGGGCGTTCCCAGAGCGTCATCGATGCATCGTGAGTTCCCTCGAAAGGGAACCTTCTTAGTTTGTATTAGTATTTGTAGTTTGGCATCATTTTTGTAATGTGGTGCCACCAACAAAGTCATGTGTTTCAACCAACATACAGATGGGAAAAAAAAATCTAATGGTGTTAATAATAAAAATTCATTATTTTTGTAAAAAAAAAAATGTTATATATATTTTTTTTAAAGATTACTTTATTTTTAAAATGAAAAACGTTTATACCATTTTCAATAAAGGATTACATTTAATGACTCTAAATGGTGTAGCCATAAAGTAAAAAGTACATGTTTTTCCTTACACTTTAAATACACCTTGAACCATCCAAAAATATTATTTTTACATCTTTTATATCTTATATCTTATATCTAATCTTATAATCTTATAAAATGGTATACAAGTTTTTCAAAAACATATGAAACTAACATGAAGAAATCCTCATCCCATTTCTCCTCTCTACATCAACTTTTCTGTCTCCTGACTGCTCAATAAATAAAGGCTAAAAATTCAATAAATAAAATATAAACAGTATCACTTGTAAGTAAGTGGACTCACAGAAGGTTGTGTATATGGAACCCATGAAGACATCTTGTTCCTTTGGGATTCTGGAAACAAAAAGGGTAGTTTCCGAGGTATTTCCCATCTGCAGAGAAGATGAAAGACAAGACACGAAGTTTAGATGAATATTGGAAAAAGGATGAAGCTGAAACCGTGGTAAAACAAGAACAAGTATAAAGCATTCATGAGCGAGCTGATGGTTTTCAGGGCTGGATCAGGGGACTTTGTGGTTCAATGAGCTCTTTGGTGAGACCATTACAATTGAGATTAGCAGCTCATCTCTCTATGAAAAGATCCAGATTCCCGTTCACAGCTAATGCCAACACAAGAATGTCCAGTCCTTTTGTTTTATGGAGCATGTAAAGGAAGGAAAGGATATATATATGTATATATATATATATATATATATATATATATATATATATATATTAGGTTATGGCCATTTTTAGCTCTGATGACTTTAAGAAAATAAACTCTCCTAAGACTCTCACTAGTTTAATTTGTCCAGTAAAAAGAATATTTTTTGTAATTTGTTTCTGAAATATCATTCTAATTTAACCAACGAATATAATTTCCACCACATTATGTATTGTTTAACATAATTAACATAACATAATTTTACTTTCAAAATGGAAATATACGGTACTGCGTTGACGATAGATGCGAGAACCAATGAGCTTTGTGTAACGTCTTAATTTACTGCACTGCGCTTACGTATAAAGAATAAAAACTGGGGTAGGTCAAGATTTTAAGTGAATACCTTTCAAATTACAGTCTGTTTTTCTTTTAATAAAGCATTCAGAAGGCTTGCAATAATGCACACGAAACATATGGACTATATTTATGGTACTTTTATGTGCTTTTCGGAGCTTGAGTTACAATTACCATCCTCTCATCGTTCAGCTTCATGGATGAAAAAGTCATATATGTTTGGAGAGACATTAGGGTGAGTAGATTTTTATTTTGGGGCAGTTATGGGCAAAAAAATTATAATTTGACAACCACTGCCTTGCAAAAGGTACACATTTGAAAGTAGCATGCATATATTATGAAGGTATGGTAAAAAGTTGGCAAGACAGTTTATTATATAAAAGTCACTTTGTGACTTTCCTGTAACAAAAAGAAAAAAACAATTATAAGTTAATATTTAATCTGTTAGTTCTTCAACAGATTAAAAATCATCCCCTGAGACATAAATACCAGTAGATAAATACTGAAATGGGAAAAGCATGAAACTAAAATCTGCAATAGGAAACTGTTTGCCTGGGGAAATAGTTAATACCGATTAGTGGTTATTAAACCAAACATTTGACCACAGAATGCCACGACTGTCCAATCAGAATCAAGTATCCTAGAGAGCTGCCTTTTGCTTCTCAGAAGATAACATTGTTCTACTGTTTTTTTTCCCACTAGACGCTCTCAAACACTTTCTTTGTTTCCTGTTCTTAAATTCTCCTGAAAACACACACATACAGATCATGTGTGTGTGAATAGTTTATTGTTCGTACATTGATTTCCCTGTAAAGCCTATTACGATCTATACACAACTGGAGGAGTCAATGACCAAATTGTACAAATGGCCTACTTTCTGGAGGCTGATAGATGTCAACTCAGCGGTAATGCAATAGAGGAGTGATGCTTCAGCCTCTGCCTGAGGTTTAGGAACACAGCTTGTCTCTCTGTCTGTATGAGTCAAGCAGATACAAATAACAAGCACTGTTTAATCAGCATGAAAGATTACTACATATTGTTTTATTACACAGCTCTCTTCAATACTTTCTGATAGGTGCATGACTAACGTGCTCACAGCCAAATCCAGCAAAAACTCACATTATTAACACCATGTTTCGGTTCATGTTGGCGCAATCTGTTCTCCATTCATTCTGAAATCACTGCATCCAGCCACAGATTGTTTTTCTATTTAGTTTTTTTATTAATTTGATTTGATTTTAAGGTTGGCTGCACAAGGGTACATGTATTCTGACTTCAAAGTTCAAATATGAAGTTCTGGCATGAAACTCTAGATGGCGCAGGCTAAAGGTCCTTTAACTCACCTGTTCATAATCACATCGTTATCTATAGGGCACTGATTGGTTCCTGCTGTATCAGCAGCCAATGAGCTCGCTGCTCAACCTTCAAATACTTGGGTAGCATTTGCTATAGCAGTGCAGCACGCTTCAGAAACCCTCCACCTTCCCCAGCTCCACTTGTACAGAGTTGCTACAGGTAATTAATGTATGCTATATTATGCAGCAGCAGCATGCCTTAGTTGCTCACAGCAGCGTGTCGTGTATGTATTGGCAGTAGCAAGTCCCGTACTTGCTCTGCAGTCGCAGCAATAACAGCAGCAGAAGCAGATCTATTCCACCAAGACCAAACATACAACATTGTCATACCCATTACCATGCCAATCACTCCGAGAGTTGTCATGACAGAAATATTTTTTTTTATGTGAATGGCCTCTTTGATAATATTCAGATATTTCATGGACTTTGCTGGGAATGTTCCTATTAGAAGATAACGAGACCCATATTTCAGTACAAAATATCAAAGCTAAGAATTTCTAAATTCCAACTGGCATCTTACAGAATAAAAGTTGAAAGAGGGAAGAACTACGGAAAGGAAATTAAGTTTTTAAAAAAAGGCAACATGATGCATTGAGGTTTTAGTCTTAAAGGTACACTATGTAACGTTTATTTTTGTTAAAAAAATATTTGACATAAAATATTTACTTGAAATACTCCTAAGCCTGTGGGTACATATTTGCTGAATGATATTGCATTTATTGTATAATGTTTCAGAATGTTTATTGCATTGGTTGTAATACTTATCATCAGAATTGAAATGCACTGTGAATGGCGCTAAAAGGTTAATGCTCTAATGCATTTGAAATTTTCGTACCACTTGCACTTAACTTTGCTTTAAACCTAACCAATAGTGTTAACAAAAGCTGATCTAAGATAAAAACACATTTGCTGAACCAACCATGCCAATTCAGCTTGCTTCTACTACAAGTCTTCAAGCTCTTTCATGGAGTGTCGTGACTCGTATTTCACTATACTCATATCCGAGCTCTCCATTTCACAACTGTACCAGGTGAGCTTCAAGCAAGTTTACTATGTCAGAAAAGCCATACATATGGAGCTAGTTATGTGATGTAAACGTCAAAATGTTTTAGTTTACAAATCATGCAAATTTAGTGTTTTAAGGTCATAGCATAGCATTGTGCAAGGAACTACGCAAAAATAACTCTTTATTCATCGATAATTTGTGTGAAAAGTAATAGAAATTGTTACATTTTACTGCTTCTAGTGTACATTTCAAATGGAAACTATAGTGAAATGTAGGGGAGCGCGGGGCACAACGTAACGCGGGGCTAGCTGTAATACTTGTTTTAAATACTTCCACACATGCCAGCGTGACGAAACTTAGTGTATTTACTAGTTGTCATTTCAACACTATATAGAGAATTTTTTTTACCAAAATTCAGAAATCTTTGTAAGATATCACTGAACATTTATTTAACCATAGCAAAAGTACATTTCTTACTTAAAGGGACACTCCACCCATTTGCATTAAGCTTTCCATTGTTAGAAACCCAGTCATACTATTGAATGGTCGTGCAACACTCTCTCATTTTCCCCTGAGAGGAGAGAAATCCGCTATTTACCTTTTTCACTTCCTCCTACAATGACGCAAAAATCGTCATTTTACGTCATTGTAGGAGGAAGTGTAAGGGGGGGGGGTATTTCTGTAAATACTACAAGCACTAGTTCTCCCACCCTTTCAAACCCGCCCATAGAGGGTTGGACCTAATGCGCTAACAGAGCTATCACAGATCAGTGGGTGGGACTTACCTTGTAGATACTGAAATCAATATCAGCCATCTTGTTTATAAGCTAAGCTAACAAGCGCTGTGGAGATAGGAAGTTATGACAATGACGGAAGAAACTAAACATGATTTGGAAGAATCTAAACATGATATGGAAGTAGAGGATTTTGAAATTCTGCTGCTCGAATCCGCTGTTTGTGGCTATCTTTACGAGCCGCAATTTAGTGAAGAGCAGCTGAGCCTGATGGAGGAACAGGAGGCGGACGAGGAGCCCAGACTGGGCGGACTGCTGGTGCCTGTGCTCTCGCTGTGCGCTACGGACACAGAGTCCGTCTGCTGCAGAGAATTTCAACGATAGCAATTTCTCCTGGACGAAATCTCTGAATCAGTCGAGCACACGGACGTTTGTGTTGTGATGTGAACCATCCTAGTGTCGCACCGCATATGTTCTGACTGAACATCCAGGTATCATGCAATAATTCACCATATAGAAAGAAATACAAACGAGGAGTAATTCGCTAATGAGTTTGCCAATGTAACGGGGTTCGTTGTTGTGGGAAGGAGGAGGCGGGAACCGGCGAACATTTAAACATTTTAATAGTAAAATAAACAAATTCAAAACAAAAGTATAAGCCAGCTGGCCACACACAACAGAAACAAAACATAAAATCAGGCCTGTTCCTTTTGTGCTTCCGCTCCTCCGTGAGAGATATGAGACCGCTGCGTCTCACAGGTGTCATTCATTATCACTCGCGCCGTCCTCTCACGTCCCTCGTCCTGCTCGCCACAGCCAACTAACTAGACATTTTGTGTGAAATGAATTTCAAACTCTTTTGGCAGCAAGTCTTGTAGACGGAAGAGTGATTTCTCTGTTTGCGCTGTTCTGGATTAGTGGGAGTGGCTTGCGGAGCTGTGCAATGTGGTGCATTGTGGGAGTTGTTGTCTTACATACAAATGCGCCCTAAAGTTATTTTCTGTCTTTTCTCGGTCAAGAGGGCACCAAATTCAAAATTTCTTTTACATTTCGACTACATATATAACCCACTTTCAATAAAGATTAATGTTGAAATGGGTGGAGTGACCCTTTAAGTAAATTTTTCATCTCTATTTTTTGTGTTTATTTAAAATTAGACAAATTTGATATTATTTTAATCTCCAATCTGTTGTTTAACAGTTGATATGGTTCTTTAATGCTTCGCTAACTAGCAGAAGACACTAGCAGGGTTTAAACCCCAGTTGTGCAGTTGGGGCAT